TATGTTGTTTGCAATAAATAAGCCTACTCTTGTAAAATTCTATTATGTGATCTCCAGCATCATTTCTATCACCAACACCATAATTTACTACTGATCCTTCCTCTTTGTTTCCAACTTTGCATTCCAATCACCAGTAATTATCAATACATCTTGATTGCTTTTTTTTAAAACAAGTTTAGACTGAAGAAGTTGGTAAAATTCTTCAATTTCATCATTACTTGTTTACTTGGTTGTTGCATAAATTTGAATAGTAGTTGTATTAACTGATCTTCCTTGAAGGTGTATGGCTATTATCCCATTAAAGACAGCATTATAATTCAATACAGATCTTGAAATTCATCATCAAAAAGAACATTTCAAGTCTATATTAAAGTTGTTAGTATAACCAATATGTATCTAAATGTTTTGTAACCCCCTTATTATGATTTATGCTTTATTGTATGGAAAGGTGAATCTGGAGACACAGTAACTCTATTGTTGCTAATGAAGAGGTATGTGCTTTATTTTTCTCACTTTGGAATTTGAAACTGTCTTGTGTGTTTCTTTTCTTGGAATTCAGTGAGGTCTTGAGGGGAAGGCATTTAATTAATGTATTCCTAAAGTGATGGCCACCTCATATGCATGCGAAAGCTGGACAACGAATAAGGAAGACCGAAGAATTATTGATGCATTTGAGTTATGGTGCTGGAGGAGAATACTGAAAGTGCCATGGGCTGCCAAAAGTACAAACAGATCTGTGTTGGAAGAAGTGCAGCCAGAGTGCTCCTTGGAGGACAGGATGGCCAGACTTTGTCTCTCATACTTCAGACATATTGTCAGCAAGTCAGAGAAAAAGACCCCCAGTGAGATGGCTTGGCAAAGTGGCAGCATCAATGGGCTCAAGCATGGCAACAATTGTGAGGTTGGTAAAGGATCGGGCAGTGTTTCGTTCTGTTGTACATAGGGTCGCTATGAGTCAGTACCAACTCGATGGCACCTAACAACAAAAACAAAGTGATGAACTAACCATATTTACATTTGGCATGTTTATGTTGTAATACATATTTATGTATGATGCTACACCAGGAAGTTTATAGTGAAGCCTAAATATTCATAGTCTTAATATGCTTTTTAAGATGCACAAAACATATTAAGAGCACCGATGCTATACACATAGCAGGATGTGAACATGTTCAAATTCTTTTATTTTAGACCAAGGGAAATGTTACACATTGTATAGGGGGCCATATTAGGAATCTCTGGTAAAGTTGGGGTGGGGAGAAGGAAGTCAATTTCAGGAAGTAGTTAGTTACAGTCGAGTTGGCTCTTGCCTCTGACTCATTCTTGGTCCTGAGCCATTTTCATGATTGTTGCTACGTCTGAGTCCATTGTTTTGGCTGTTGTGTCACTCCGTCCCATTGAGGGTTTCTCTAATTTGAGTCGACCCTTTACTTTACCAAACATCATGTCCTTTTCTAGTGATTGTTTTTTCCCTGATGATGTTTCCACAGTAAGTGAGCTGAAGTTGTGCCATCCTTGCTTTTAAGAAAAATTTTTGTTGTAGTTTTTCTTCCAAGTCTGATTTGTACAGTCTTCTGGCAATACATGATATATTTAATATTCTTTGCCAATACCACAATTCAAATACACCAGAAAGAGTAAGTAAGGCTTTCAAAGTTGGAGAAAAGGTTCTAAAAAGTAAAGATAATAATTACATACAAAGAGAAGTGTCAAAAGACAGATTCTAATAATTCTATTCTCACTATAAGTCCAATACTCATATGAGTTCAAAAATCACAGAATTTTAATTGAGAGATTAGGTTCTCTTCCTGCTTCAAAGGGCATCACCAAGGACCCAAATCCATGAATGCTGCCAGAATACAAAATGTGTAAGAAAATAGTCTTGCCAAAATGCTTACTCTAATCATTTTTGGGGGGATGGGGAACTGATTCTTTATTTTTTTTTAAAAAGACAATTATCAATTTTAAGTATCAAAACATTTGCACTACTGTTTTCTCTCTCTCCCAATCGTCCCCCAAAAGAGACCACACCAAAGGAGAGTGCATTTGAGACCACTAAGCTACAGGATGACCATCTGAGATACCTCACAGAAACCTCACCAAAAAAAAAAGGGGGGGGTGTAGGGAAAGGACTTTTTTTTAAAAGATGAGCACACACTGCTAGCCTACAGACTGCAGAGAGAAATCAGCCAGATGGGGTGGCCAGGACACCCCAACCCCAGAGAATCACAGTTTCAAAATCATATAAAATTTCAACAACAAAAAAAGCTTCGTATATAAGATATTCAAAATTTCTCCAACACTGACTGATACAAAGCACTTTGAGATGGCACTTTGAAAAACAGCAGCTTTAGAGCCAGAATAGGGTGACACGATGAGTTTTGTATGGGTACATCAGTGGCAAATCATTCTTACTTTTAAAAAAGAAGATAGGAGAGCAAATAAATGGTCACCCAAGAGAGTGACACATGATCCATCCTGTGAGTAGTTCTGAAGGAGAATGGAGAAAGGATGGGTCAGTGATGAGATCTCACACAGAGGTCTCATCATATTAATTTGTTTGGTTACTTCTGACAAAATAAAATAAAAACCACCTTGTACTAAGACACCTTAAAGCCGAAAACCTGACCAGCACTTAAAAACAATCCCCCTGCCCCCAGGGCTAACAACTCTTCCTGGAATCACCTTTCTCGTTTGGCTGGTGCTTTGTACAGAACAATAAGGGTTCCCAGAGTAGAGTCTTTCCCTTGGCTACATTTGGATCTCAGTAAGGCAGACCCATACTTCTTTCCCTCCTTTTTGGAGAAGGCAATATGTATTGAGCCGAAAACTTACTTTCCAAAAGAAAAGAGTTAGATTGCTGCTTCAGAGCTGCTGAGTTATTTGGAATGTGTTACATATGGTGCTATAACAAAAAGGCAATTACAAAATGTATACATCACAACATGCTTTTAAAGACACTTGCACTGTGCTCATGTTCCCTTAAATGTTGTTCCCAAAGGTGCTCAG